CTAAACAAAGAAAAATGTGTGTTCAGAACACATGAAGTAAAATTCTATGGTCATATTTTCAACAGTAAGGGCTTGGCAGTTGATCCCCGGAAAGTTGAAGATATTCAAAACGCTCCACAACCAACGAACGCAAGCGAAGTGCGATCTTTTCTCAGACTAACACAATATGTGGCGAGATTTATCCCCGATTATGCATCACTGACAACATCGCTGCGTGAATTGACGCGAAAGAATGTCTATTTCAAATGGACAGACACCCAAGAACAAGCTTTTATTAAACTTAAAGCCGCCCTCATCAGCCCCACAGTGATGACATACTTCGACATTCAGAAAGACTCGCAGGTGTTAGTGGATGCAAGCCCAACGGGATTAGCCGCTATGCTCTGCCAAGATGGCAAAGTTATAGGATACGCTAGCAGATCGTTGACCGGTGAAGAACAGCGATACTCGCAAACAGAGCGGGAAATGTTAGCTGTCGTTTTCGGTGCTGAACATTTTCATTTATATTTATATGGAGCAAGATTTCAGATAATGACTGACCATAAACCATTACTCAGCATATTCAACCATAACAAGCCAATGAGCACACAAATTGAACGCTGGAGGTTAAGATTAATGCCATATAATTACGAGTTGGAATACCAACCTGGACACGACAACCCGGCTGACTACTTAAGTAGACACTGAAGAACAGCAAACTGTTGCGCATGTTAATTATATTGTACGAAACGCAATCCCAAAGGCGATGAAACTGAGTGATATTGAGGCTGAAAGCAAAGTTGATAGCCAACTACAGAAATTGAAACAGGCAATTGAACAGAATAATCATGTGTTGTGGAACGAAGCTGAACTTCGCGAATTTAAGCAGTTAAAAGATGAGTTGACAGTAACAGACAACATCATACTCAGAGGACATACTATAGTTATACCCAAATCATTACGTAATAAAGTGGTAGAAATCGCACACGCTAGTCATCAAGGCATTGTGAAGACGAAGTCTTAATTCGAGAAATGGTCTGGTTTCCAGGGATAGATAAATTAGTCACGGGAAAGGTAAAAGAATGTGTTGCATGTCAGGCATCAAATGCGCAAAATGCAGAACGCATTGAACCCTTAAAAATGTCAAGCATGCCAAAAGCACCCTGGAAGGAAGTTCAAATGGAATTAAAGGGCCCTTACCAAATGGAAAATATCTTTTGGTCGTATACGATTTATATAGCTGTTTTCCAGAGGTCGAAATTGTAACATCGACGTCGGCACAAGCAGTATTGCCAAAACTTGATGCTATACTAGCACGACAAGGAATTCCAGAGATCATCCAAACCGATAACGGTCCGCCATTCACAAGCAATGAATTTCGACAATACACAGAATATCACGGGTTTAAACATAAACGAATAACACCATTGTGGCCACGTGCAAACGCGGAAGTAGAACGATTCATGTCAAATTTAAAGAAAACTCTCTTAACAGCAAGTATAGAACACCGAAACACACAACAAGTGTTGTACGAATACTTGCGACAATACAGAGCAACGCCACACACTACAACACAGATATCCCCAATGAAACTTTTGAATGGGCGAAAAATGTCTACTCGCTTACCAGAGATAACTATAGCTAGAAATGACGATGAGATTCGTAAAGTCGATTCAGAAAATAAACAGAAAATGAAAGAATATGAAGATAGAAAACTTAATACTAAGGAAAGTTGTCTAAAAGTAGGAGATAGAGTATTACTTAAGCAAAGGAAAGGAAATGCATTTACTCCACCGTTTGATCCAAAGCCATTTCGTATTATAGAAAGAAACGGTAATTCCATAAGAATTCAGAGAAATGACTTGCAACTTTGGAGAAATGTTAGCCTTGTTAAGAAGGTAGTAGAAGGTATAAAGGAAATAGATGATCCCTTAAGTGACGTAGAGCTGGAT